GTTTTCATTCTTAGGACATTTACAAGAATACCCACAAAAAATGAAGAAGGAACCTATTGATAAGATCTCAAACAGACGTGTCTGTATTTTTACACCTGGTTGGGAGATATCTGTTGGAGTAAAAACTACTGATCTAAGCCAACTGATTCTCAAAGAGTGGAAAAAGAAGAAGCATGAGCAGTATGTATCCTAAATTATATACAAATTTGTTACAAGAAATCTAACATTGTATATACCTTCAATATATAGGTGGCGCATGAAAAAGGCTGTGGAAGAATTAAAACCTTCAACAACTCCTCATATCATATGTATTTGGAATAAAGTCCAACAAATAAGGTACAACACCATTTCTTACCTATTTATTTTTAATGGCATTCTCTATATCATTCTACAAATTAATTATCTCAAATTATAAAATAAAATAAAACAATTTATGGGTGCAGAAAAAAGATTAACAGTGGCCAAACAACTTTTCTAAATACGGTAAGTCTTCTCTTATTTTCATACAAAAGTATACTATAAATTCAAATTGCATTCAATTTTCAAATATAAATAAAATTGCATTTTTTGTCAATTTTACAAGCATCACACCCGTCTCAAAGTACAAAGGTTGAAGTACAAGATTAAGGTAATATTTCTTATTATTTAATTTTGTAAATATTGTTACAATTTGATACCTCAAACTTGACAAATATATTTATCTTTCAGTATTCTACAAATAACTGGAGTAAAAGTATTGCCATGAGAAAATTGTCAAACTTAAAGGTATTTAGGTTAAGTTGCTTACAATCTTTATAGTTGGGATTGTGCATTATAGTTAGACTTCTTATTTTATCATCATTTCTTGCAGATTAACCATGAAAATCTAAAGCATCAAGTGCAAGCAAATGGGTGGCAAGCATGGCTTTGATTTCACACGTAGGCGCTATGTTTACATATGTACATGTTGTCCATATTTTGCTTTGCTTCATATATTAGGAGTTCATCCCTAGCTAGCCTATAACTTTGATTGAAAACTTATGAATCTGAAACATTTTGATTTAAGGACATTAAGTGTTGTCAATATGTATTTAGAAATCAAATTACATGTCATATTTTCAAATTTTTTTATTTATAAATAGTATATGTTTCCCATTTTATCTTCGTTGTTGTTTTAAAGAAAAAATAGTAAAAAATGTATGAGAGATTACTCACATATGTGCAAATTGGATGGAATATATGCTCCTAAATTATTCAACAAATGTGGCAATATGACAATATGGCATGCGATAACACCATTATCACTTTGGAATGATGGGATGATTGTACGGTAACACCATTATCTCATCAACCTTTCTTCAACTCAAGCAATTGGAACTACGTAGCCTGGCCCATGCTCTAATGTTGAACATCTCAGTCCCAACCCAAAATGGCACACCCATAATTATGTACTCACTCCTCTAACTGCATCAACTATCCCATTCACACAACCATTGAACAAATGATCTGCCAACCTGCTCGAATGACGCCAAATATTGCCCATAATACCTTTTTGTCCACCATAATAAAAAAATATTGCCCATAATTAAGGAACCTAACTCTTGATCTTCTGTACAATATATAAGGGTAAAATGGTACTGATGGAGATAACAAAATTCTAACTAGACTGAGTAACTTAATTACCAAAGTCATAATAATGATCAAGCATAGCTCATTTCGTGAAATCAAATTCTATCAGCCAAACAAAAAAAAAAAGACACCATAATAATTAGCAAGCAAAAAAAAAAAAGAAAAAAAAGGTGGATTGGTTAGTGTACAATTCATAAATTTCATTTTTGGGTACAATGGGTAGGTGCAAAAAGACTAAGTTAGATGATTGAACATAATAAAAAATTGAAAATAATAAGAAATTGTTGTGATGGACACAAACACATTTTATAAAATAATCACTTAAGAAATATAAGAATATCTAAAACAACACATCTTTGGGGCGCGTAGCGCCCGTGATACAAAAATGTCTCTCGCACGCATGTTAGTGCATGCAGAGAGGCTAGTTGTAATTAAGTGAGAAGGCATGTCCAACCCAGCCGTCACATAAGGTGATATAAGATTGTGGTATAATAATGTGGTAAGTAGCATTATTGTGAAAATATTATGACGTTTTGTTACTAGCTAAAATAATAGGGTAAAAAAAACGAAACCTAAAAGAATAGGTACTTGAAAGTATTTGGTAAGTTGGAAAAATGAGCTACCTTAAAATAAACACGTAGCATCGACAAAAAAGAAAAAGAAAAATTAAACACTTAGTAGAAGGGTCACGTAGTACTACGGTCTAGTGGTTTCTTCTTCATTTGTAAGTGAGAGGTTTTAGGTTTGATTCTTGCCAAAGGCGAATTTAAACCACATTATTGTTACCCATTGTGAGGCTTAGCCTACTTCTTCCCCCTTAGTATAGATAATTTCGTTTGTTAAAAAAAACAGAGGAGCCAATGGTGGCTAAGAATTGTGTTTATTCTTGTAAATCCATCTTTTGCACTAACTGATATGACCATATGGTTTCGTTTGGTGTAAAGGAATATATTGAACTAGATAATCTATTGTTAGTAAATCATAGAAAAATAACATACTAGTAATTTGTAACTTTTTTCTAAATTAGTGAAAAAACGTAATTAATGAAGCTTTCAGTTTCAGAAGGATTTCAAGGAAACCTAGAGATCAAGTGTTAAACCCGCATAAGAAGGGAGATGAAAGAAATGATGAATTCGCTTTGACTTAATTAAAAAAACAAATTGAAAGAGATGATGGCCAACATTGCACACCAAATTCACCAATCTATATGTTGTCTGGTGCCCACCGTAGGCAACTGCAACTTGGAGACTAGAGAGCACGTTCTCTGTATATACACTACTAGAAGGTATATATATTCCCGGAGAACATTTCTTAGAGAACTGATATATTTTATTCTACTTTATTTCATTATTGTGCTTGCAAATTTAATATTTACAGAAACAAAGAAAATTAATTGTGAAAAAAGAAAAAAAAAATAGTTATAAGACAATAAGTAAGTGAGCATGAATATACTAGTCAAATTTAATTAAGAGATCATAAGTTTGAGGGGGAAAAAAATATATATCGTTTCATTATTCATCTTGATCCCTTCTCATTGTCAACTTCTCCATCAATGACAGATCAAGATTAGTGGTGCTATTATCATAATCTTCCTTATTCAACACCGCCACAACCACCCACCCCCCCCCCCCCCCAACCCGATCACCCTTGTTAATTTGATCCTCATCTGTCTCTAGCTTCTTTCTTTTCACATAACTCTAACCTAACTCAAGTTTGAACTCTCACAAATACATTTGAGGTTATCAGTTCTGCTTTGACGTACCGTTTGATCAGAAACCGAAAGTAGGATTTAGCCTCATGTAGTATCGGAGCTGCATATGGAGGGAAATTAGTTTGCCAATATGCGGTGGGATACCTCATATATGAAAAAAAATACATATAAATCTAACCTAACCCTAATTTTTTTTTAAGAGAAACCTAACCAAAGTTCTAATTCAGATATGGAACGACCTTGGAGACTTGGGACCATTATTAATTCAAGAGATTCGCCAATCGACTACCACATGGACGACGGTATATTGCCCCCACAGTATCTATATCAAGAAGCTAATTCTAAAGCAAATGCTTTCGAGGATTGTGACACTATTGATTTAATGAAAATCTTTAAACCTATTCATCTGTCTGGATTCCGCCATTGGTTAAGAGGGTTCTATATATGTTCGTTCGAACTCAATTAAGATAGAAATGAACTAATGAAAAAGGAAAGAAAGAACCTAAAAGTTGACTTAGATTAAATTAGTTCGTACATATAATATATATATTTATGTTGTTTTTTTTTTCCCGATGCTTCCCTGATTGGTTGATTAAATATAAACTTGATTTAACTAGCCTTTAGATTCATTAATAGGGTTTTTTTTTACTTCTCACACACCCTTTATTAATTTTTTCCCTTTGATATTCTTCAATTCACTCAATTCAATGATAAAAAATTAAAAAGGTGTGTGAGAAGTAAAAAATGATGTGTGAATATCACACACCTCATCAATATTCGTCTCCACTCAAATTAAACTACTATCTCATGCATGTACGATTTAATTAATGATGAAAATGATTACATATTTTCCATGAGATACATGGATCCATATCGATTCATTAGTATTCGTCTCTACTGAATTTTAATTACTATTTCATGTTTAATTTACTTAAATTATTGAAAACGATATATGTTTCTGATGAGATTCGTGAACTTGGGCTCTGTTTGGATGAAGAAATTTCAAGTCTTAATGGACTCGTATGTTTAAGCTAAATCCCTTGAAACTTGAAATTTTCTCATCCAAACTTGTAGTTGCAATGTGAATACATTGCAGTTGTAATAAGTCTTCATATATATATATATATATATATATCCTGTCGTTTTCTAAAAGAATATAGATCTTAAAGTTCGATTACGCAAACGTTCAATTTTTATGTTCTTTCATCCATAAAGTAAAACTTCAGTGTGAGAACATTTCAAGGGATGCACCTTCTACACAAGTATAATTAGTCCACGACAACTAATTAGTCGTAAAGTGGCTTCTCAACTTTGTTAAAAGAAGCCTCAATATTTATACAACAAAAAGAGACACATATAACTGGGGAAAAGTTCAACTGCCTATGCTTCTAACACGGTTTTACAATTGAACTCTTATCCAGCCATGCACACGACTCTTTCCTAGCAACCATGCAACTTGACTTGTTCATGGCCTCCATGAAAGAACAATTAAGCTAAAATATATGTGGGAACCCACAATCATTGGTCGAAATAGTAGACCTTGATTGATTAAAACATTTCGAAGTCTACGAGTTACATATATGGAAGTTTTTTAAAGCATCAGTCCAGCCTGTTATACTGAATAAACAAACATGTCTTTTCAACCACGATTTCATATATTGCATGCTATAAAAGGGGATAGCTCTCACCCTTTCAAAAGCAACTCAACTCACTCACAAACAAGTTCTAAGAACGAAGTACAGTTTTCTGGCAATAACATCTGAATTGCCAGAGAATGATAGCCTCGAAACAGCCGAGGCATTGGCCTCCAATGTTTTATGTCGTGGCATTATGCCTTTTAGCCACAAGTGTGCTTGCTAATAAGCCTTACACTTATTCTTCACCACCACCACCCCACAGCACAAAACATTACTACAATTTCCCACCACCAAAGCAATCTGCGCACCCTCCATACCGTTACAAGTCTCCACCACCCCCATCACCCTCACCACCATCACCATATGTCTACAAATCTCCTCCACCCCCATCTCCATCACCTCCTCCTCCTTATGTCTATAAGTCACCACCACCACCTTCCCCATCACCTCCTCCTCCCTATGTCTACAAGTCGCCACCACCCCCATCACCATCACCTCCACCTCCTTATGTCTACAAGTCGCCACCACCTCCATCACCATCACCTCCACCACCTTATGTCTACAAGTCACCACCACCTCCATCACCATCACCCCCTCCTCCGTATGTCTACAAGTCACCACCACCTCCATCACCATCACCTCCTCCTCCCTATGTCTACAAGTCACCACCACCTCCTTCACCCTCACCTCCTCCTCCTTATGTCTACAAGTCTCCACCACCCCCATCACCTTCACCACCACCTCCATATGTCTACAAATCTCCTCCACCACCATCTCCATCACCTCCACCTCCTTATGTCTACAAGTCACCACCACCTCCATCACCATCACCTCCACCACCTTATGTCTACAAGTCACCACCTCCTCCATCACCATCACCCCCTCCTCCATATGTCTACAAGTCACCACCACCTCCATCACCATCACCTCCTCCTCCCTATGTGTACAAGTCACCACCACCTCCTTCACCCTCACCTCCTCCTCCTTATGTCTACAAGTCTCCACCACCCCCCTCACCCTCACCACCACCTCCATATGTCTACAAATCTCCTCCACCCCCATCTCCATCACCTCCTCCTCCTTATGTCTATAAATCGCCACCACCTCCATCACCATCACCTCCACCTCCTTATGTCTACAAGTCGCCACCACCTCCATCACCATCACCCCCTCCTCCATATGTGTACAAGTCACCACCACCTCCTTCACCTTCACCTCCTCCTCCCTATGTGTACAAGTCACCACCACCTCCTTCACCATCACCTCCTCCTCCTTACGTCTACAAGTCTCCACCACCCCCATCACCCTCACCACCACCTCCATATGTCTACAAATCTCCTCCACCCCCATCTCCATCACCTCCTCCTCCTTATGTCTATAAGTCGCCACCACCTCCATCACCATCACCTCCACCTCCTTATGTTTACAAGTCGCCACCACCTCCATCACCTTCACCCCCTCCTCCGTATGTCTACAAGTCACCACCACCTCCTTCACCTTCACCTCCTCCTCCCTATGTGTACAAGTCACCACCACCTCCTTCACCCTCACCTCCTCCTCCTTATGTGTACAAGTCTCCACCACCCCCATCACCCTCACCACCACCTCCATATGTCTACAAATCTCCTCCACCCCCATCTCCATCACCTCCTCCTCCTTATGTCTATAAGTCGCCACACCTCAATCACCATCACTCCACCTCCTTATGTCTACAAGTCGCCACCACTCCATCACCTTCACCCCCTCCTCCGTATGTCTACAAGTCACCACCACCTCCTTCACCTTCACCTCCTCCTCCCTATGTGTACAAGTCACCACCACCTCCTCCCTATGTATACAAGTCACCACCACCTCCGTCACCATCACCTCCACCTCCTTATGTCTACAAGTCACCACCACCTCCATCACCATCACCTCCACCTCCTTATGTCTACAAGTCACCACCACCTCCATCTCCATCACCTCCACCTCCCTACATCTATAAATCACCACCACCTCCATCACCTTCACCTCCTCCTCCTTATGTTTACAAGTCACCACCACCTCCTTCACCTTCACCTCCTCCTCCTTATGTCTACAAATCACCACCTCCACCGTCACCTTCCCCTCCTCCTCCATACCACTACAAATCACCTCCACCACCAGCAAAGTCACCACCACCGCCTTACCACTACAAGTCCCCACCACCGCCATCAAAGTCCCCACCACCTCCATACATCTACAGCTCACCACCTCCTCCATTGAAGTCTCCACCACCACCTGCATACTACTACAGGTCACCTCCACCTCCGAAGCATTACTAAGAGCTAATGGTTATAGCCATTTGAAAGGGTCGGAATAACTTCTTGTTTTGGATGTTAATTGGGTACCATTTCTTTTCATCGTTATTCAGTTCACAAACAAGTGCATTTTTGTGCATAATAAGGGTCTAACAGATCCTTCCTGTATTCTGTTGTAAGAACTCATTGTACTACTTGTTTAAAGAGCTTAAATGAAAGTGAAGAACATTAATTTCTTGTACGTGATCAAAGTGTTTTAATCTTCTATTTCATTACTTATGACTTTTTGTTTGATTAGATTTGTTCTTTTTGGTTTAAAAGTTAAATGCATGTCAGTTTACCGTAGCTATTATTCTTGCACATGATAAGGCATGTTAAACAAATAACCATGCATATTATAACTGAATTGTTACCGGGTTTTTCAAATCATGACTAAAAGTCAACACGCAAAACACGTAATCAAATTAGAAGAAATGTTAATTGGAGTTGACCTAATGTCGCCATGTTCTTGAAACATTATGCTCTTTGGGGCCTACTACCGGCACTTTGCTCTGGCATAATATAAATACTCACTGTCAACTCCTGATTTAAACCTATGTGGTGGAGATGGTGTGAAAAATTCTGTATATATGTAATTGTAAGCAATGAAGCTAGTGTGAATAATCGTAAGAAATACCATCACATATTTCAAACACGGCAACTGTTGGCCAGCCGGACAACAATCATAACTAAGAATTTTATTGAGAACAAAAATAAACAACCAGTTAATGATACAAATATCAACAGCATGATGAAACCATATTAGAATATTGGATTTATAATGCAAATAAAGGCTTGCAGATTCGCAACGTCTTCGAAACATAATTTCGTCCCTACTTAGGCGTGGACTTCGCTAGGATTCAACTATCTATAATTAAAATCTCAACATCAAAACTTTGATTTTGGCGAACTTCATTGTGTTTCTCTCCCATTTCGTATATATGAATGTTGTTGCTAACTGACGTTAAATGCAGAGGAGATTTATAGGAATCATATGCCTTTTTAAAACAAATGCAACAGTTTGATTCAAATTCAAACCATTACGACTGTTGTAAACAATTTTATGTTTTAGTCCAAATTAACCTAAATTAATTATTATTCTTTATTATAAAAACTAATCTAAGTCATTAGAGACGGAAATAGATCATCTCCAGATCTCTTCCACTAAGATCATCAGATCAAGTGATCCGGATCTTCCAAATTTCATCTAACGGGCCACCTGTTTTGACCCATTAAAAATTATGATAATTTTTGCCGTTGAATAAAATTTAAAAGGTCCAAATCACTTAATTTGGTGGTCTTAATGAAGGAGATCTAAAGATAATCCCTTCGATTAGAGTCAAAGAGCCCCAGTTCCCAAGACCCTAGTCCTTGATTTTTTTAATAGATAGGCCCTAGTTTTTAATTTAATTTTTTTTTTTCAACCTAGTTTTTTATTGATAAATATAATTATATTACATAGTTTAATCGACCATCTAACCCAAATCATACATGGACCTCCACACAGACACCCTAATTCGTTTTGAAAAGTGTTACTACATCCTAATTTTTATTTCTTACACACTTTTATTAATTAGTAGCTATTAATCTTTAATCTATTGCTTTGATGGTCAAAAAATAAGAGAGTGTAAAAAGTAAAAAGTAAAAATAAGTGTATGAATAGAACTACCTTTCATTTTAATATGAATGTTGGCCTAATACTTATAAACTACTATAAGAGCATCTCTTAAGGAGATGTCAAATATAATATGTCAAAATTTATTTGATTGACGATGCGGGCAATTGAATATAGATGTTAAATCTTTTTCTTTTCCAAGGATATGTTAAATATTTATTTATTAATATATTGGACCCCATTAATTACATTAATGACTAAAAATAATTTAAATTGATTTTAATTTCATCTTATTGGTTGTTAATGAGACTCATGCATTAAAAATTAAATTAAAAACATTTGACTCTATCTTTATTTGCTGTTAAAAAAACAATTGAACAATAAAAAGTCAGATGACTCAACAGACACATCATATATGATACATCTCTTAGAGAACATCTTGATGTCTAGTCTTTAGTGTACTTGACATCTGTTTTAAAAGTGATCTGGTGTCTTCTACTCAAAACATACGCAAACTTAAAAGGCAGAAAGGGAAAGCTTACTAAGGTGACCTTCTTTCATTCATGATCTCTTGAGCATATTCCTAGAAGCGGCCAACTTCAGAAAAGTAAAAGAATTCTTACAAAGTTCACATAATATTGTAACACATCGTTATACATTTAGGTTAGGGAGGATAAAAGTGAATTAGAATATTATGTAATTTTATGACATTTTTTAGTACATACACTTGTTTGGAATAATGTTATTCATACCATATGTTTTGTACCACATTTTCATACCACATTAGATGACATTTGATGTGGAGAACCACATCATTTGAAAAATTTGCAAAACTCAAAAAAAGGAAGAAGAAAGACTCATCGTATACCACAAATGATGTGGCTGTTCACATCAGATACCACATAAAATTATATAAAAATGTAGTATAAAAACATGATATGGATAGCATTACTCTGTAATAAAATGTTCATAGTGTAATCATCAATGTTAATAGTGTAATACAAGTCTAAGTATAATGGCCTAAGACTTCTCCCAAGACCTCTCAGCCAACTTCCCCGCCGACCCCAACTCCTTCGGCGGCTACCCCACCCACCGTCTCTCCGGCATCCCCTCCCACATCGGTTTTTCCGGCGAAGAGCCCGTCCAAGAGTGTGTCTCCACCGGCTCAATCACCGGTGCCCCATACGCCAACCGTTGCCTCTCCGGCCAAAACTCCGGTGAGCGCTCCCAAGAAAAGTCCAGCCGGGGCTCCGCCAGTTGCAGAGGGTCCTGAGATTGCAGCGACCCCATCGTTACCAGTGGGCATTCCTTCCAGTTCTGCAACACCGGCAGGATCCCAAGGAATGTTCCCATCAAGCGGTAGGCCACCGATTCCGGCGCCGGCAAGTATGTCACCGGATAGTGCTGCCCAGGGTCCATCAAGCGATGAATCGTCTGCGTCGGGTTTGAATGCGGTTCGGGTAGTTTTGAGCGGGCTTTCTATCTGGTTTGCTTTGGCTCTCTATATCGATACACTTCGATTTCCTGTTCTCAAGAAAAGATATATATATATATATATATATATATAAAATTTTATTAATTAGGACTTAATTCTTTTTTTGGTCCTGTACTGATTAGTCATTGGTGTATTTTCTATCTTTTTCTATCAAATGATAAATATTCGTTCTATTATCAGTATTTATTTACCCCTTAATTATTTTTTATTTAATATATATATATATATATATATATAGGTCGAAAAGATGGATTTTTTTTTTGTCAAAAAGATGGAAACTTATTAAAGCCGAATGACAAGTTTTGTTTGAGCGGTAAAAATATTATAAAAAATCCGGTCAATCTTATCCTAAAAGAACTCGCCACCATGCTTGGTAGCAAACGAAGCCACCACGTGAGCAGCAAAGTAATCTTCCTGCGAAACGAACCAGAACATAACAAAATCAAAATGCATAGCTAAAGAATCAATATCAAACATCACCCCTTCTAATATTGCATCCGGTTCCATTGGTCTATTAATCATACGAATCAACAATATTTTGTTTGCTTTGCTTAAGTTCTATAGGACGGAATAAATAAATCTAAAAAAAACCAATAAAAAGTAAGAAATTGAGGGTGTGGAAAACATTTTCCTACTTTTCTTGGTGCACTGTAGATGCCTTTACAGTTGTTATGACTAGGGCTCTAACCTATTTAGTTTGGCTTCTCTGATGCAATGATATCTCAGGTTACTCACGTGACCGAGCATACTACTGTGCTTAATTGAATTTGAGGAAGGCTTGGTGTGGTGAACAAAACTTTGGAATGGTGTTTAGTATTCAGGCACAAATGGTGAATAAATGGTCCATCCATATGGATTTTCAGAACAAAAAGAACTGAAAAAAAACAGACAGAAAAGCAGATTCCTTCCCGAGAATTTGGCAACTTCATCTTCCTCCTCCTGCAGCTCCTTGTATTTGCATTTCTCCCCAAAACCTACTACTGAGTCTCAGTGTCACTCAAGTGTTCCTTCAGCTGCATTTACAAGTTTTCATAGTCTCCGATGTTGTATTTCCGCAAAGCTTAACACATTGGTGAATGCAAGATTAATTAATTGGAGGTGTGAGTTGAATGTTGGTGATATATTGTATGATTAATGAGTGAACTTAATGATACATGTATGCATAGAGACGATTTTCGTATCAAACTGAATGTTTAGGAACATGTGATTGATCAAGTACATGTGGAAGGAATTCGTGTTCGTAGAAAGTGTAAGTTGTACCAAGAAATCAGATTGGAATATCAAAGAGTTCGTTCAACTAAGTCATTGTGTGGGAGCTCTATGCAGCCCTTGGGATGTTAATCTTCAAAATTTCGTTCGTAGAATGCTTCTGCCCAACTTTTTCTAGTGTTTCCCTTTGCTTTCACATGAATATACAAATTTCCAACACTTTTGCTGATATTGCTTCTCCTTTTAAGTGAATTGTTAAGTTCTTGTATGTATAAGAATATGAACCTCCTAGTCGTACAAATTGGATTTTCCTCTTCATAATCCTCTTCATAATTTGACATTTTTCTTTAGGCAAATTCCACTGAAATGAGTTCAAATCTTGCAAAACTTGGGTTGGTAGCTATTCTTGCTTATGGTCTGTTTGATGCGGTTACATATACCTCGTTTTTTGTCCTTGCATTTCTTGGGTACAAGAAGAGTACTGGGAACAATCTAGCAGCTAATATGAAGGCAATTTTAAGGGTAGTAAATGCTCAATTTTCTTTTGCACTCTTTTATGAATTTCATTTGGATAGGAATGGTGAGATGACATTACTTGTTACACTAGAAAAAGTCTGGTTTTGGTATAAAAGCTTAACTGCAGAAACACATCTGAAATCTGAGATGACATTACTCGTTTTGCTACGAAGAAAGTTGGGGAGGGGTCAAACATCTTAGGTTGAGATTACATATACAAAGGTGTCAGATTTACACAATGGGTTTGCATAATGAGTTGTTGATGACTACATACACATTGAGAATTAGCTTATGTCTTTGTGTTCGATGAGGGAGTGGGTTTTTATTTTTATTTATTTTTATTTTTATTTTTTGCAGTGGTTACTAAGAGTAAGAAGTAACGAGAGAAGGAAATGGGTCAGATTTTAAATTTTTGTACTTTTCTTGTTCTTATAAGAAGGAAATCGATCAGTTGTTCCAGTTTTATCTTCCAACTCTCTATTTTCCAATTGTATTTTGGTGTCATTCCATTTTAATCTTAGTTCCATTCAAATGAAGACATTTGAAGAACCTAACGTAAAACATCTGTACAAGCAACATGCATCTTAGCAACGCCAATAAAATCATCTATGAGAGTTGATCCAATCTAGGTAGGCTACATGGGGGGTTATTGAAGACAAAGCTGTCGGGATCCATATTAAAACTCCAATTTGGCAACTGATGAGCAACAAAATTCTACTCCCTGAAAACATGTTTCATGCCTCAGCTCAGCTCACATATAACCAATTGACTCATCAATGTTTTGCATCTGCTCACAATTGTATCAAGTATCAAGAGGATAATAGCTATCAACCAGATTTTGCTAGAACAAAGTGACAACAAACACCTCTGTCAATGAAATCTCCTTGTCCCAAATTGGCAGAGAACTCCACCCACACTGATCTTAAACCATCAACATTAAGCTTATACCAACGAATATCACGAGGTTCCCAAGCAATGGGAGCAGCCTTCTATTAGGTTTATGGGAGAGAACCAACTCAACCTTTCACCCAGTTCTTGACTTTTTGCGTGTTTAGTAACAAGCATGGAATTTGAAGGGCTAGTTGATTCATAACTCAATACTTGAAAATTAGGAATCAAATCAAAATGTTTATTTATTTTTTATTGGTAATACATTTACAAACTTGATTTAGAAAATACATATAAAGATAACTTTTAGGTGGTGATATCCATACACCGATTTTTACCTCACACATCTCTATTATTTTCGATTGTCAATCAATTGAAACAGTTAAATAACATAAATTAATAAGTGATATGCGAGAAGTAGAAATAAGTGTGAGGGGGCACAGAACTAAAATACCCAAAAATACCAGAACACAGAGTAGGTAAATTTCAGTTGCAAATGAAAATTACAAGCACTGGGATTTTGTCTCTTTATCGCTGAGAGATTCTCTGTGATCGATGGCAATGGCGACAATGGCAGTCGTCTGCAAATGCGCAACAGCGAGGAGGAGCTTCTTCTGCTTCAGAGAAATCAGTTTCGACGACAAGCCCAACTGCCGAAACCTCCTCCGAAACGTTTCGACCCTGCCCGTCTTTAAAAAAGGCCTCTTCACTTGCTGCAGCCCATCCTTGCTGGAAATAGTATTCTCAGGTTTATCTCACACAATTACGGTTTTTTCCCGTTTTCTTTTGAGTTGCACGGTCTGTTTGGTTCGCGAGAAAACTTGAATAGGTTCAATTAGGTTGCTGAAGTGAATACTTGAAAAGGTTCAGTTGGGTTGCTAATAAATTCCAAACAATAAAATTTAGACGTGAATTGTGTTAATCGATTTTTTTTTTTTTGGTGTACATTCTTTTAATCGATTTGACGAGAAGTTCCTAAGCTAATTTATTGCTTTTGAATGTTCAATGGGATCCTATAAATATGTCTGTGTGATAATTAGATGATTTGTTGCCTGCAGTATGGATGCACCAGAGAATTTGAGGTTCTTGACGTTGCCGTCTTCCCGAGATAAGAGAATTCCCATGTATGTGATGATGCCTGTTGATGCCTTCTGCATTGATGGTACGGGGCGTCCAAGGATTAGGAAGTAAGTTTTATTATGACTTTCTGTTGATGAGGCTAGTGATGCATTTTCATTCTTAATTTAGTTGTTATACTCTTTTAAACGACGGAGTATGATTAGCTACAAGGTTGCAGTTAACTATCTAAATTTATTTATTTTTAATTTAGTTTCCTTTCGAGTGAGACAGAATCTCCTTATATATTGCTGGATTTATTGTTGTTTCAGAATCAAGGCCTTAACTGTAGCTCTAAAAGCACTCAAGTTGGCAGTTGTCCACGGTATTGTAGTTGAGGTTTGGTGAGGAATCGTAGAGCGTTTCTCTCCTCTTGCATATGATTGGTCTCTATATGAAGAGCTTTTCAAATTGATTTTTGACTCAGGTTAAGTTTGAAGTTGCATGTTGCCAAATCTTTTCACTCAAACGTGGACTCTTCTTCTAGCAGAAAAGGGGGTGTAACTCTTCCACTTTGGATCATAGAGGTTTGTCTTATTTGATATTTTGAAATCCCATTTGAAGTTATTAGTCTGGTACAATGCACATGGCTGTATTGGAAAGCTTAATTTACCCGATCATACTTTAAGAAACGTAACCCATTTGGATGACTAGAGATACTATCAATGTTTCTTCAGTTTCATGCTCTACAACGTGCTATGGTACTGTGTTCCCCATTAGCATACTTGATTTTAGCTTTGATATGCTTAAAAAGTTTATCAATGCAAAGGGATTTGAAAGAAAAACTATAGTTTGGCCTTCGTTACACACCTATCAGCTTGAATCTTGAATCTAGATAAAGAAGTTGACTTCTTCTTTTTTTCCTCCCAAATTGGTGATCAGAATAAGCATATATATTATTGGGACCAAAATGGATTTTCCAATGATGATTATCTTACACTGGGAGTTGACCATGTTCCTCTCTTTTGCGGACAGACTGCCCTCTAATTTGTTGAAGATTTCATGTCAAGTTTTGCTAAGACATTTGAATTCTTAATCGGTACTATAATAGAAGAAATTAGTGTTGGTGTTGGTCCTTCTGGTGAACTTAAGTATGTTACAGTTACACTAGAACTATGAGTATGAAGCTAGTCCAATGATTTCTTATGCAACATTGTTGCATTGCTCACACAGATATCCTGCACATCCTTTTGGTGAAGGTAGATGGAAGTTTCCTGGAATCGGTGAATTCCAGTGCTATGACAAGTACATGTATGTTAAAAATCTTTCATTCCTCTGACGGAAATTTGGTTGCTATTGAATTTTTACTATTTACAACCTTGTTAGGATGGGTGATGGCTGCATGCAAGGAAGGAAAATTTCAGTGGAAAAAGAAGGGACCACAAAAAGCCGGCTGTTACAACAGTCTTCCATCTGAAGTTCCTTTCTTTGGAGAGGCAGAGGAAAGCTTTCTTTCTGATTATGGGTGTCTTTTTCTTGTATGAAACTGATGAAAGCAGCTTGCTTAATTACTTCCCATGAAATATTTCTGCATAGCTAAAGCCTAGTGTAACTTGCATGACATAATTGCTTTTATCGTTTTGTTCATGCATATTTCATCCTCGAACTACCACTTGGACTAAAATGCAAATGCTGAATTGAAGTTGTGTTTCTTTAGCCATGCAACATTTCTCTGTAGGTGCATATAAACAACATGGGCCTGCAATATATATTTTCAATCTTCACTGGAACTTTTCTTATAACTAACTCTATTTGCTTCTAGGGGTTGTACTTGCAGACTGTTTGCTACTTAAGTCTTAACTACTCTTACGTAACATGATTAAAAAGTAGATATGTTCTAATGATTTAATATGAAGTCATGACAAGGGAACGGGTTTTTAAGAAACTGCACTAAGTTAATGCAATTTGATTAAGAATGAAAATGCATTGATGCTCGTCTTCTAGAGAGAAAAAAAATTATCATAGGATCTACTGGTTAGTAAACTAAGGACAATTATGGAGTATAAGTGGAAAATTAAATTATATTATGGTTCTTTATCATGCAATACTTGGCATAACATGATTAAAATTATTGGAAAACACTGTGGAGCTTAGGAGATCTGACAGTGCCTTGACTCGTTGTAGGAATGGTACGGTGGTAGGTTGCTCCATCATGCAGATGATATTCTTGCAAAGGCAGCTAACATTCTGAAGAAATATCAAGAAAACAAGCAAACTTCAATTATATTGGCAGCTAAAATTGGTGGAAAATATTGGTGGTATCAGGCGATAGCACACCCTGCTTAACTTACAACAGGATACTACAACACTGCTGTTAGAGATGGTTATGATCCTCTTGCTTCACTTTTGTCTCGTCATGGAGCTGCTTTGCATGTTCCGTAAGATTCTATGTTTAAGGTTCTGACTGGAATTTTGTTCATTGTCCAACCTGATAATTAGGGCTTCTTAGACATCTGCTTGATTTCAAATGTATCTTTTCTACCAAGTTCACATGCTAAATATCTTATTGCAGCTGCTTAGAAATGATGGATGGTGATAACCCGGCATCCTGTCTTTGTAGCCCAGAAGGTTTACTCCAACAGGTACGAGGCCTGTTGTAAATAATGCTTCCTTAGGTTATTGCTTTGTTGGCACTTATTTTGGACTTACTTTAGATATTTTTTGTATAATTCAAGCTTTTAAGTTAGGTAGGACTAGCCCATGCGGCTGTGCTTGGCACGGCAGGTCGTGCAGGGTCTCTGGGTTCAACATGGGCTTGGAACGGGTCAATATGAGCTTTTTTAGTATTACAGATATTGGGTATTATAGATCAGTTTTTTAGGTTTCTTTTAGTATTTTATAATTCATTATGAGGTAAATCTTTAGTTTTAATTGGGTTGTCTTGCCTGGATAATAAAGAAGAAACATATGATAAGTCCATCAATAATCATTTTCTGTTTTATTGAAATTTGGAATACAATTTTGATATTAATAGAAAACAAATATAGAATTGCATCACTATACCGTATATCAGTATCTTATTACTTTGGATTGGCAGGGTCTGTCCATTTACACCACTGGGTGGTGGTAGTGGTGGCTTGCTGATGGCTTTCTTCTATAAAATGTCTGGCCTTATGCTTTGTTTATTGTATATTTAAAATACTATACAATTCCAATGTAACTTAACATGATTCAATTTGCACCAGATATGGAGTGTTTCAAAGAAAAGGGTACATTTGATAGGGAGAAATACCGATGAATGATTTGATAGGGTAAATTCATCCTTTGCTCAATAACAAAAGCAAATTTCAGGTACCATTTTTTCTGTTAGACATATATTGGATAATGCAAATGTCAGATAACTAGAAACACATGGCTTCTGATAGCGTTTAATGGTTAACCACTTTTTCTTTTGCCCATTCTATCCTGCGTATTCACGCGTTTGCTTTTCTCCTGCAGTTTGGTTTATGGCAAATACATGCTAACGGTTACCATTCCCAGGCTGTAGCAGTAAGATCATTTACGTATTTCAGAAAGAATGATAAGATCTTTAGGGCTGAAAATTGGAGTAACTTCGTTCCTTTTGTTAAAAAGATGAGCACAATTTGTCAAGCAGCCAAAAAACCCAACTTACCCGTAAGTTTATTGAACTACCTAGAGGAGCAGCCTCACTGCCCGATAATTTTTTGTCAAGGGCATGTGTAGAAGTTTGTAACTTCCTGATATGTTGACTGAAGTAACTTCGTGTTCCCATGACAGGCGTTCTTGAGTTGGAAGTGTAAATTTTTGAAACGGATTTGGTTGGCTGTAGAAACTGAATGCTTTATTACCAAATATGGGAAGAATAATTGGAATTGCAATTTTGGTACTACTGGTCTCATTGCATTGACAAATCCAGGTACGGCATTTCAACTTTAGGAATATCATCATATTGTCATATCTATCACTATGAGAAAATAATGTAGTCTTTGTAGATTGAAAACAACAATAAGAAAATGGATCCAAAAATTTAGAGAAGAAAAAGAACTAAGAGTTCACTCCTCCATAGTCCTTCAAATACTTAGTCTTGATTTTGGTGAGTGTGATTGCAGCATCTTTCATGTTAATCCTCTCTCCTGGCAATGCTGCAGAGCAAGCTAAAGCTAATCTCATAACGGATGATAAGCAATCCCTCCTGCTCACAAAATCACCATCTTCCTCCGCCCCAAGTATATCGGCATCCACAACTTCACCTATTGCAGCATCTGGAAATAATGAATCTGCAATCCATTGCTTTAAATCCATTTCCCCAACAAACATCTCGTCTGTTGGCTTCCTTTTTGTGAATGTCTCCATGAGTACAATACCAAAACTATACACATCCCCTCTTGTCGAAACGCTTCCTTCCATCCCAAACTCTGCAAAATTTGTATGTGAATTTAGTTATATATGATAAAAAGAAAATTATAACTCCTTATAAGACCAATATATACAAAGTTGAGAAAATACATCACCTGGAGCCATATATCCAACTGTGGCTAGGGTCATGGTTTCTGTCATCGAATCTCCACCGCCAATGAGTCTTGCAATGCCAAAATCAGCAACATGTGCAACCATATCATCATCTAGTAATATATTGCTTGGTTTCACATCACAATGAACGATAGGTATCGAGTAACCATGATGAAGATATTCTAGTGCCAATGCAACATCTTTCATTATATCTAACCTCTGCAGGAGAGTCATGGAGCGGTTTGGAGAATACAACCACTTTTCGAGGCTTCCATTAGGCATCAATTGAAGTATCAGGGCTTTGAAATCAAGATCATTGCAGCAACTTATGATTTTAATAAGATTCCGGTGACGGATATTGCTTAGCATTTCACATTCCTTCTCAAAACTTTTGAATGCCTCTTCTAGCTGCAAATTGAAAACCTTGACGGCGATATCTATCCCGTCTGAAAGTGTTCCCCTGTACACTGAGCCAAAACCACCTGTGCCTAGTAAGTTACTCTCATGAAATCCATTTGTTGCCCTTACAAGTTCTAGGCGCGAAACTCTTCTCCAAAGAACTTGATGTAGCGAGGCAGTTTCTCTAACAACTTCGACATTCCTTTTCTTGCATTGTATCAGAATCAATGCAGCGGCCGCTAGGAGTATTACTGATATGACCCCTGGGATGATATATTTAGCTTTCCTCCAGTTCGGCTTAACTTTTGTTCTATTTTTGCATAGTGGAACATGGAGTCGAGAAGCACCGCAGAGTGCACCGTTTGATGCAAATGAATCAGCAGAGAAGTTTCCGAAAGGCCCGCCGGTCGGAATTTCTCCTTGGAGTTTGTTGAAAGACAAATTCAGATGCTTGAGATACAAGAGTGCTTCCAATGACTTTGGGATCACCCCGGATAGATTGTTTTTGGACAAATCCAAGAATTCCAGGCTTAGCAAGGTTTTAAATGAACTGGGAATAGGGCCTTCTAAAGAATTGTTTGCCAAGGAGAAACTAATCATATTTTGAAGACCACCAATGCTACCGGGAATGTTTCCGGAGAAATGGTTATTTGATAAATCCATATCCACCACATCTCTCAACTTTCCGATATCCTCTGAGAGTGGTCCATCTAGAGAATTGGATGCCAAGTTTAGGTGCAATATACGGTTGAGTTCCCACAAGGAAGGTGGTATTTTAGAAGTTAACAAATTGGACACTAACGATAAACGTCTTAGAGCTACTGTCGAAGTACCCAAGCAGGAAGGAATTGAACCAGATAGCCGATTAGCACCGAAACGTAAATCGGCTAGGTTGTTTAGTTGACAGAGTTCATACGGGATATGTCCTTGGAGTTGGTTATCATTCAAATACAAACCTTGGAGATTTTTTAGCCTTTGTATTGAACTTGGAATTGCTCCACTCAACTGATTGTCTCCCAGGTTTAACTCTATCATGCTGCTCAAGTTGCCAATATCAACTGGAATGTTACCCTTGATGTTGGAAAATCTTAAATCAACATATTGGAGTGACGTAGATAGATTGCCGCGAGGAGCTGGAATTTTGGTGTTTAGTGGATTATATGACAAGTATAATCTTGTTAGATTTCTAAGATTAAACAAGCAAGAAAGAGTGCTTCCTACTTGTGGAGCAGAAGCATCAATCGTCAAATTGTTCGAATGCAAGATAAGAAACTCGAGGTTTTTTAAGGAACAGAGTGTGATAGGAAGAAACCCGGTAAATGAGTTTATGCTCATGTCTAGCTCCTTGAGCTTGGAAGCATTGGAGAGGTTAGGGAGTGGTCCGGCCACGAGGTTATTTTGGGCCACACCTAGGAATTCTAGGTTTGGAACGTTAAGACCTATGTTTGCTGGGAGGCCACCTGAGAGCTGATTAATAGAAAGCCCTATTTCTCTTACCATGGAGTTATTGAAGAGTTTGGATGGGATGACGCCACTGAGATTATTAGTATGCAGTGTCAATATCTCTAACTGTGGAAGATCACCAATCTCATCCGGTATTGTACCTGTCACAATTTCAGCATGTATGTTTACATTAACTTTGTAACTTCAGTTTAACTAAAAACGAAACGATTGTAAAATGCTCCCACGTTTATTACCTTCTAAATTATTGTCGGAAAGAATAATCTTGCTTAAGTAGGTCAAATTGCCAAGACTTTTGGGTATGCTTCCACGGAAATTGTTAGACGCTAATGAGATTTCACGAAGCTCTTTGCATTGCCACAGTTTGGAGGGAATCATACCGTCAAGCTGGTTTTGATCCAAATATAATCGTCGAATACTCGAAAGATGCTCACACATATTGTCCGGAAGACTACCACTCATGTTGTTTCCGTATAGAGTGAAAGTAGTCAAAGAAGATATGTTGAGGACAGGCACAAAGCAGAGCCTTTTAGAGCATTGTCCTGCACAAACAACACCTCCAACTGACCTAAACTGCCTATCTCGTTCGGGAGTTCTATAAAATCAATCCGTGTATATTGTTAAAATCATGTATGCATATATAGGAGCAGCTTCTTAGTGGGAATCCCGTTCTATCATAGCAAAAGTGGGATACATTCTAAGGACCATGTACTCACTATATAGGACCTCTTTTTTGCTCTAGAATACGAGGGTCTTACACGGTAAATATACGATCCTATGATAGTCCTCTCATCTCATTTTTTGCTGAAGTTGAACAAGATCCCAGCTAAGAAGAGGCTTGTGTATATGTGTGTGTGTGTGCGTGTAACAAAACCTAAGTCATACAGTATACCTTCGAACTTGTTGTCGTCAAGGTATATGACCTTCACCATTGTTAAGTTGCCGATTTCTCTGGGTATGCTACCTGTTAAATATGTGCATGCGTGCCAACCAAAAAGAAGGGAAAAAAACAAACGAGATGATTGTTATACATTTTATAATATAGATGTTAAATGTAATGAAGCAAGCAACACTAATTTATATGCCTAGTACGTACGTACCTGATAGTTGGTTATTGCTCAGATCAATTTTTTCAAGTGCAGATAAGTTGAAGATAGCAGCGGGTATGAAACCAGAGAAGCCATTACCCCACAATATGAAGGTTTGAAGTTTAGGGAAGGACCCAAACCACGAAGGAATGGTTCCGGTAAAGTTGTTGTATTGAAGGTTAATTGCCTTCAACCGGCGCAAACGAGACAATTCTTGGGGTAGGGGACCATTAAAAAAATTATTCTTAAGGTGCAACTTAATGAGAAATGAGAGGTTGCCTAGATGCGGAGGAATAACCCCAGCAAGACCCATGGACGAGAGATTTAAGGCCGTGACTCTATGGTGGCGAGCACCGCAGGTAACACCAACCCAGTTGCAAATGTCAGAATTGGAGGCAGAGGACCAGTTGGCGGTCAAGATGTTTTGAGGGTCACTAGTGATGTGAGCTTTGAGAGCAAGAAGCGCAGACTGATCTGTGCTGAAATTGGTATGAGCTATTGCTAATGCACCTGCAGTTAAGTAATTAGCCATAATCATCATATAGATATAACACAAGCAGCGTATCATTGACAACATTCTCAACAGTAGGAAACGACTTTTCTCCATACACAGTATATATATACTCTCCTTAATTGTAATAGTTTTCGTCTTTCGATTTTAATTCGATGGAAAACTTGAACTCATTACATTCACATAAATAGGGAAACAAGATGGTGTTACCAAGCCTTGTGCACGACTTAGGCTTGCCCGGCTTCTACGTCGAGACTTGCATTGCCCGGCTTCTACGTCGAAGTGAGGAGACTTAGACTTCAAACGAAGACCAAACATCTTCATTGAAATTTAACAATATTGGTAATTTGTGCTGCACAGCGGAAGATGCCCAAATGTGGAATTGTAGTCTTCAGTTCACACTCGATCAAAACAAACAACATAGCATTGTGCCTCTACAATGCACTTAAAAAGTTTATTAAAATTTCTTATTTTCTTGGTAATTAAGGAGCCGTTTGATAACCATTTCGTTTTTAGCTTTTTCTTTCAACTTTCATTTTTTTTTTTAATTGAAAACTTGTTTTTCTAACTACTTTCAGTTTCCAAAAAAATGAAAACTAAAAACTAAAGGCTAAATTTTGAAAACTCAAGAAAGTAGTTACCAAAGAAGTTTAAAATTTTCAATTTTTATAAATGAAAACTGAAAATAAAATGGTTAGCAAACTGGCCTGTAAATTAGTATAAACATGGTAGTTACTAGCACTACGGTCTAATGACATTCCTCTCTATTTGTAAGCAAGAGGCTTTAAGTTCGACTCACTTGATGACAAATTTGATGCCTAATTACTATGGCAACCAACACACACGTTCGTGCCAGATTCTCATGTTCTGAAACATACTTGTCATTTGTCAACCTAAGGACCAACCTAGACATTGTTTTCCCACATTAGCCTCTTGTTCCCAACCAAAACCATTTTGTCACCCAACTTTTCCACTAACGCTACCTCCTGTGTGCACCCCAAAGTCCTTGGTCTCCATCACATGTTTAGTTGACCCAAACTTTTCTACTAGTTGGAGAAGAGTCCCGGTTTTCACCTGCAGGGATCAAACATGTCCAGCGTGACAATATGTCAATAATGTAACCATCAACCTTGTTATAATAATAACGTCATTTTGCATTATAAGTTGTAACCTTATCATAATCATAGTAGGATATTATACTTGGATATATTTCCGTTGCACTACCAACATTCAAATTAAATGGTACGACTACCTTTTTTTCTACTAAAAAGTACCATATTTTCATTATGTACTAAAATAACTGGTGCTCATATACATTGGAGAGGGGATGATATTTATAGTATTTACCTTGAGATATTTTCATCTTTTAATACCCAACAAAAATTTTAATTTTGCATGAGGAACTTGATGATAGTGTCATTGCATTTATACGAGTCATACATGCATGTACGAATGAGATTGTGGTTGGCACATCTTTTGGATGAAAGAGCAAATATCTTGAAGTACCGACAAAATGACCATTAAAAAAATATCTTCAGTAATTGCCGTAGAAAAAGTTGACCTGTTTATATTGTTTGAACACGCTTTACATTTTCAATCTTCAGCCGTACAACACTTTACCTATCATGCAATTTGACTTGTCCATGCAGGCCATGAAAGATCAATATTGAAGTCTTCGTGGGAACTCAAATCACGGGTTGAATATGCCTGAGACATTATATATTGATTGGCATCCCATTAATCCCAGTGTCTTTTGCTACGTAGAAAAGCTAAAGCATTAATCAGCCAGTTATGCTGAATAAAAACATGTATTACTCTAACATGATGTTACATGTCTACTAACAAACAAGTTTCTAAGAACTAAAACTTGAATTGCCAGAAGTGGCAATGTTTTATGCCTTAGCGTTTTGCCTCTTAGCAACTAGAGTTCTTGCCACTAAGGAGGTTGTGGTGGAGATTTAGACAATCAAATCCCTTAAGATAGTAAACAATATTAATGTCGTTCATAATTTATCATTAAAATAAGTTACAAGTTACCAACAAGATTTTTATGTCATGAAAATGTCGCATTAGACAAACAAGCTATAGATTTTAGTAGCTATTAGACTATATGTGTTTTTTTTTTTTTCGGGACCAGGACACGCGTATGGAAAATATGTTTGATATTTACGTTCTGTACGATATCCTTCCTTTAGAAGGAGAAAGGGTGCGTTTGATAATGCTTGTCAAACTTAAGTGGTGACCTATCATATCTCGTCAGACTCGTCTATGTTGTATAAGTTTCTAAATTTCCTTTTTTCTTCTTTGGTTCTCATTGCTTCTCTTGTCTCACTAACTAATTCAAAACATGCATAGCAACACGGGACGGCCCTGAGATTTGGAGAGCCCTGTGCAAGGCTCTAAGGAAGACCCTTAAAAAGTATGGAATCTTGGTTGATATGTTTTCTTTTATATTTTAATTTTTATGATTATGTATAAATTGAGATAAAGAAAAAAAAATTTTGGTGTTCTAGTTAGGTACCTATTTGCATTCCTATGTTTTTGGGTTCGGATTTCCTTATTATTACATACCTTAAAAAAATCCTTAGAAGGTCTAACATTTAATTTAGTTGCTATGTTTTCTTTTACATTTTAATTATGATCATATATAATTGAGATGATGTAAAAAAAAAAAAAAAAAAAAAAGGAATCACAGTGTGATGGCTAGGTACCTATTTACATCTCCTATGTTTTGGGTTCGAAACACAATGATTTAAATAACAAAAAAAATAAACATAAAATAAAACACAACTCATGCTTTTAAATACCCAAAAAAATTAAAATGAAACACAAAATAAATGTCATGCTTTAAATAACAAATAAATATAAATAAAACACACCTCATGCTTCTAAATACCCAAAAAATTAAAATATAACACAAAAACCGCCACTGGGTAGAATCGAACCCAGCTCATGGTACATGGATAAGACGCAGAAGACAATGGCACTGCAAGAAGAATTTGGAATTTTGCAGCAAATTTAAATATATATACTATACACAGGTAAAATAAAATCTTTATCAAGCCCCTCCAAATGGGGAGCTTTGTGCGGTGGCACCACTTGCACACCTCTAAGGCCGGCTTGCTAGGGAAATGAGGAAATTAAGCTGGTTCTTTCTCAAACTTGCCCACATGGTATACAAAGGTTATGGGCTTGGTCTTCCATAATCTTGACTCCACATAGACTCAATGAACTTCCATAACCATCCACACCACAATTCACTTGACAAGCACAGACATGTGACTTGGGCTTATCTTAGCATGAATAGTGATTATCATGATAAAACTTGGCGTGACAAATATGCATGAGTTTGCACAAGCGTGACTTGATTAACGTAGCATGGCATCATTATGAACATAACTCCTTCTTGATTCCGCACATTTGCACTGAATTTGGCCTCGGGTTGAGGCTTGCATAACTATTGCGCCTTGAGATTTGATTGGGCTTGCATGTGACATTTTTGGGCCTTAACAGGTATCTTATCCTAGATTTTCTCCTAGATATTCTCCCGATTTGATAAAGGTTACTTTCCCTACAAGAACTCTCTCTCGGACTTTTACACACATTCTCTCTATGCTTAACATAAGCCCCTACGCCACCGTCTACACGTAGACACGTTCATGAAGAACGCATGGACTATTCCAACTGGATTTCAGTCTCCGTCCACAAATGTACGTAAATTTGGTTCCAACAATGATTATTAACGTCATATGGATAGCAAATGTTGATGTCGTAACAACAATATTTCACAAATGTCATACTACTAAAGAGAGATGAGAAAAAAAAAATACGTGTTCAATTTATTTCGATTTGGATGCTAAATCACGAACCAAACCCCGAAATTTAAATAAAATTACAAAGAAGTAATCCCTAACTTCCTACAATTGTGTAAAAGCTTTAAAGAAATTATCACCAGAAGATTAGAAAATCAAATACAAGTAGAACTTTTGTCATCACCTTTTTTTTTTATTTGGTTAATTTGTCATCATCTATTGGAAACAAGTTTATATCTACTACTATATTTGCTTCTTGGTAAATATGTCATGCTTGAGTAAAGTAAAGTCATATTTTAAATCAATAACTTCACCTTCCAGCTATTTGAATTTGAACCATCATAGTTTTAAATCCAATTATTTGTTCATGATGATTCACACATGATCATATTCCTGCTTAATATTTTGTATATCCCAAAGTCCTTTTGCATTGTTAATTGTCGTCATTATATAATAAGTTTCTTCTCGACATATATTAGAAAATGTGTCAACAAGTATTTTAATTTGTGTGTCTGAATAGTTTTATTGTACTATTATATATAAGAACAATCCTTACATCATGATAAAAATAAAAAAAAAAATTGAAAGAGTCATACTATTTGGACACACAAAATTAACACATTTGTTTACACACTCTCTCATAGAGGTGCGATACAACTAATGAAAGCGTGTCACCAAGTGTGTTAATTTTGTATATCCAAATAGTTTTACTGAAAATAAAAAATATATAATGAAAAGTAGAATCTAGTCCTTAACCTTTCTTTTCATCATGGCCATGCACACTACCATCTTCACATTGAGAGCAAATCTTGTATATTATCAAGGAATTGAAAATATGTGTACCTCTATATCTTCTTAAGAACTATAGAACCATAAACTCCCCAAAATCCAACAATCCAAAATCCGACAATGAAACCTAGAGCTACAAAGATAAAAAACCAAGGAAGCTCGTCACATTCATTGCCCGCATTTGGGTCGACTTTATTCTTACCATCCGCATCACTTTCTATGCACCTGTTTAGAGGTGGAGCACCACAAAGTTTAGGGTTCCCCTCAAATGCGAAAGTGTTGCAGCTCTGAAGTTGCGTGCCCATGGGTATTCGTCCTTTGAGATTATTGTACGAGACATCAAATGCTTTCAAGAAATTAAGGCTCGTCATTGACAAGGGAATTTTTCAGGACAAATGATTTGTGGAGAGGTTCAAAATCTCTAAATATTTTAGGTTAGATATTTGATCAGGAATGTCACCAGAGACGTTGTTGTCGTCAAGATACAGCTCACGATGAAGCTCCAATTAGCCGATCTCAGTAGGTATACTACCATTAATGTTATTGCCCCTTAGGTTTAT